CAAAACGGCCCGGCCCAACTCGGGACGCCACATGTATACAGCACCACCCCAGTCATAGCGTGGGCCTGGTCGGCAAAACCGCAGCGGCCTTCGCTCACCTGGGCGTTGAATGGCCCGGTGACTCCTCGCCGTCGGATCAAATCCGACGATCGAGCACCATTTTCGGTCGGATAAAACCCCGACGCCACGCGCCCCCGATGAAACCCTAACCTCATTCTCTTCGGTCCTCTCTCTCTCTTCACCTCACTCCACTCTCTCTTCGAAGCGCAGCAGGAGCCAGCCACCGAGTGAGGAGTAGGCGAAGCAATGGAGCAACGGCGCCGTCGCCGGCCCTCTCGCCGGTGTGCACGCTCCCCAACGGGTGAGCGCCACCATTGCCGAGTGGCTCGCCTCGGCGCCTTTTGGCCGAGCCCCGAGACGAGCCCTGCCCGCCCTCTTTTCCCAGCGTCGTTACGCATACACTGTGGCGAGGTAGTTCCTCTGGGTTTCCCTCTTCCCCTTTTCCCCTTCTGTATTTCTCCTTTTCTACTCGGATCCGATCCGATTTGGGGACGGGGATTGGAATTAGGGTTAGGGTTAGGGCCGATTCGATTCACTGTTCTTCTTCCCCATGAGTTTTCACAGATTTAGGGTTCGGCTTTGCTTCTCTTCTAGGCTGAAACCCTCTTCTTCTTCTTTCCTTAACCCAGTTAGGGTTAGAGTTCAGAAAACCTTCTTTCTTTGTCTAGATCCAAATGGATCTAAACCATTCTTATCTTTTCTGTTCTTTTGATTCTCTTCCCGCGCGTCAGCAAGCCGGCGGCGGGTGCTCCATCCCGCGTGAGGCGGTAGTGACGGCGGCGGGGAAGCCCTAGTAAGACTTCCCCCCAGACCGTCCAATTTCTTTAGGGTTAGGGTTCTTTAGGGTAATCCAAATTGAATTCGAATCCCCCCCTTTTTTTCTTTTGTTTCTATCACCCGATTAGGGTTTAGGGTTCGATGAACCCTCTGTATTTCTTTTCTTTCGATCCGAACCGGATCTAACTAATCTCCTTCTACACTGCTACCCCTAACACAATCCACACACTAGATCGACGACTTTGATACCATTGTTAAAACATTTAGATCATCTAGTAGTGGATCTAGGAGGGATACACATGGATTCGGAATAACATATGCACATGTAAACCTAGAACACTACACCGAAAAGGGAGACAGAGAGACAGAGGGGTGTGAGGAGAGTGAGGAGTTCACGCACTGCTGGATCCCGTGGAGTTGGAGCTCGATCCGGCCATCGCTGGTTCGTTGATGGAGGCAAGACACGGGCAATGCGCGGTATCGGTGAAGAGAGGCGACGATGGAGACGGTGATGCAAAGCGCATGGCGTGGCGGCGGCGGTGCTTCCCGTCACTGGCTGCGCCCCTCTGTTAGATCGGAGTAGGGTTTCTAGGTGGGGCGTACGGCTCAGGCGAACCTCGTACCGAGAGCCGCCGACCCCACCTCTATTTAATGCGCAGTGTGACGGGGGTCCGCCAGCCATAGATGGACTGGGCGCCCCCGATCAGGGCGCGAGGTCAAGGCCCAAGTGGCCGTTGGGCCACTATGGTTGGGAGATCAAACCAACATTAGCATGGCTACCTTGTCACTCCTTATCTCCTTCCTATCAATGATAAATCTCAGGCAGATCTATCACTATGGGAGTATGGGTTGTAAAAGATATCAGAGGCGCAGATGGTGGAAGCACCAAGCCTGATCTTGGGTCCTTGGTGAATGCGTGTTTCTCATTAGATGGAAAAGCCCCATCTGTGGCACTTTACATAAATAGCCAGCTAACAACCTTTTGGAGATCACGTAGTATTCTTTACATGGACAATAATCAATCGTACTCCTATTCATGCGTGATCTCTTCTAACACATGATCTAGTCTACCGCATGATCTGGTCATAACACACATGCACACACACATGATCTAGTCTACCGCATGATCTGGTCATAACACACATGCACACGCATGATCTAGTCTACCATGGTTGTTGCCGAATGTTAAGGTTATCCTTTAACACTCCCCCTCAATCACAACTTTACCAGGTTGAGATTGTATTTAAAGTTCTCCAGGAGTCGACTTGACAGTGGCTTTGTAAAGCCATCTGCTACTTGATCACCTGAAGAGATAAATTCAATATCCAATAATTTTCGTGATACTCTTTCTCTGACGAAGTGATAATCAACTTCTATATGACTTTTTCTAGCATGAAACACTGGATTTGCTGACAAATACTTCGCTCCAATATTATCACACCATAACTTAGCTGCTCTCAGGCTGTTGATATGCAATTCTTGAAGAAGAGTTTGAATCCACATCACCTCAAAGAGCTTGCATCAACTACAGCTTTGTACTCGGACTCAAGTCTTGGATCTTGACACTGTGTTTGCTTACGAGCACTCCAGGATACAAAATTAGAACCCGTAAAAAACTGCAAAGCCTCCTGAGACCTCCTGTCATCTCATGCTACCTGCCTGATCTGCATCTCTCAAAAGCACTCACCAAATAATGGAAGAAGACTTGTGAATCTTGAGACCCAGCTTGGTACATTGTTTCAGGTATCTCAAAATTCTTTTCGCAGCTGCCCAATGCACAGTAGTTGGAGCATGAAGAAACTGACACACCTTATTTACTGAATAGGCTATGCCAGGTCTAGTGAGTGTTAGATATTATAATGCTCCAACAATACTTCTATAACGAGTAGCATCATTCGGGCCTAACAAGGACCCTTCATGCAGCGACAATTTCTCACTTGTGCTTAGTGGAGCAGCTACAGGTTTGCAATCAGACATGCCTACTTTCTTAAGGAGACCAGATGCATACTTATCTTGCATTAGGACAATACCATCACGTACCTTAGACACCTCAATGCCTAAGAAATAGTGAAGCTGTCCAAGATCTTTCAGTGCAAACTCTTTTTGAAGATCCTGAAGCAGGGCATCAGTAGCCTTTCCTATGGAGCTAGCTACTATGATGTCATCAACATACACAAGAATAAACATGGTTACATCTCCTTTGTTGTAAAAGAACAGTGAAGTATCTGCTTTTGATGCATGAAAACCAAGTGAAAGGAGTTTTCTACTTAGCCGAGAGTACCAAGCTCTAGGTGCCTGCTTTAGTCCATATAATGCTTTATCGACTTTGCAAACATAGCCCAGTTTGGAGGTGTCTTCAAAACCTGGTGGTTGTTGCATGTAAACTTCTTCTTCAAGATGACCATGAAGAAATGCATTTTGTACATCAAGTTGACGAAGGTGATGCGAATGTTCACGGTGCTTGCACGCGTCTGAGACGCATACATCTGCTCGATGGCCTTCCAGACCGCCGCCGCAGTCTCACATGTGGAGACTTGGATCTTCACCTCCTTGGCGAGCGATGACAGAAGAAAGCTCAGGACCTGTTGGTCCTTGGCTTCCCATTCCTCAAAGGCCGGGTTCGGCCTCTTCTCTTGTTTTCCATCAACGGTGGCGACGAGCTCCTCTTCGGGTGCCTTGGTGTCGCCAGTAATGTGTGCTTGGAGACGAGCGCCGCGTATGGCTGAACGAACTTCGGCTTTCCATAGCTCATGATTCAGCTTTCCCAATTTCTCCGAGACAGCTTGGCCAGAGAGAAAGTTGGTTGATGAATTGGAGCTAGACACGGCGCTGGATTTGGTGGATTGGATTTTGTGGAGATTTGGCTCTGATTACCATGTAAAAGATATCAGAGGCGCAGATGGTGGAAGCACCAGGCCCGATCTTGGGTCCTTGGTGAATGTGTGTTTCTCATTAGATGGAAAAGCCCCATCTGTGGCACTTTACATAAATATTCAGCTAACAACCTTTTGGAGATCATGCAGTACTCTTTACATGGACAATAATCAATCGTACTCCTATTCATGCGTGATCTCTTCTAACACATGATCTAGTCTACCGCATGATCTGGTCATAACACACATGCACACACACATGATCTAGTCTACCGCATGATCTGGCCATAACACACATGCACACGCATGATCCAGTCTACCATGGTTGTTGCCGAATGTTAAGGTTATCCTTTAACATGGGTATCACTATGGGGAAGGGATATGGAGATCTATCAATATGGGGGAAGGGATAGGGAGTTCCTGGATTCTTGTCTCCGTCTCTGTTCTAGTTTCTGGTAAACTTGGTACCCGTTAAACTTGGTACCTGTTGTATTTATGTTACATGTTAATGGAAATGGGGATGGCCTCGACTCGAAAAAATCACAATAGGCAATTTGAAAAGGGGGAGATGTGACCCAAATCATCCTTAGGATTTGGTTCAGTTTGGATTCTACCATAAAAGTTCCTGAGGTGTACCACTTGGTGGTCTGGTGGCTCATAAGCAGAATGTGCATCCCGGGTGATCTGCGCAAGGGTTTTGACTCCATGGTGCTCCTGATTACCTGGATGATTTGGAAGGAACGCAACCATCGTGTCTTCGACAACAGTTGCACGCTCCCACCAGGTTTGGTCACTGTGGTGGTAGAGAAACAGCTGGATTGAGGCAGGTTTTGTCGACCTGGCGAGCTGATAGCGCTGGTGGTTGGATAGGCGCTTAGTGTCATTTTAAAATGTTCCTATGTAATAGAACTTCTTGTGCCTTTGCTGGGTTAGCTGCAGCCTATGCATGTCTCTCGCATGCTTGGCTGACTCGCTAACTCCTTGTAATCTGCTCACCCCTCTTAACGAAATGCATGCTAAGCATGTTCGAGGGAAAAAGGTGATTACCACTTCCAAATTTGCCTAAGTTGGTGGCCCTGCTATCCTAAAAGTTTGCTATCTGTGTACTGTTCTAGCGTTCGACATCCTGCAATCAAAGAATTGATTTTTGTTTTACCGCTTCTCAAGTTAATGTAGTACTATGTTTGGTGCTTGACTCTCATTATTTAATCAGTTATTCTACCATTTCTTTTTGGTTTTGATCCACTTTCCCATGCTCTGTGTCTGATTTGTATTTTGGGTAACCTGCAGCAAAACTTCCTGCCCTTTCTGCGTCCGTGTGAAGCAGTTGTTCGAGAAGCTGGGAGCTAGCTACAAGGCCATTGAGTTGGATGTGGAAAGTGAGTGCACTTAAATTTGTTTGTTCTTTTCAGTTGTGCAATTCATAGTTTTGACTGTACACATCATAGGTATTACCATTATAGCTAAAAACTTGGGATGTTTCTGTTGTACTGTTTTGCTGAAATATGGTTATATTTGCTTATAGGTGACGTATTTAGTACAGCAGTACCGTTATGGACTGTGGCACGATTGAATTTCTATGCAAGTTCATGATTTGGTTGCTCCTTATGACATGAGAAACACTTATTTAGGTGCTGGAGAAACACTTATTTAGGTGCTGGAGAAACACTTATTGTGGCACAAGTAACAAGAACAAATCATTGGTTTCTTTCTTGCTTCTTCTTTGTACAGTCCTTTGCAAATATTTTTGTACAGCTTTGCTCTCTATATAAATAAATTTCCACTCCTGTTTTGTCCATAGAAAAAAAACTAAGAATAAATGACCCGACAAATAAAGTGCCAAATGCTAAGGGGTATGTTGCTAACCTGCAGTGTCTTATATGTTTCATATTGTTTCACTTACTGGATCATATCATATTCTTTTAAGCTGAAATATTGTGGTTCCAATCACAAATTACTACGCCTGCTGAGTGCTGAGTGTACACTCATGGCAAACATTTAGCGTGTCTCTGTGCTTCATATCTTAGGACTTCGCATAGTGATTAGCATCATGGGATTTCAGGGAAACTCTTATTGAACCAACCTGTTCTGTTTAGGTGACGGGCCTGAGCTCCAGAATGCCCTCAAGGAGTGGACTGGACAGAGGACTGTCCCAAATGTCTTCATCAATGGGAAGCATATTGGTGGCTGCGATGGTGAGCCTCCTTCTACAATTGTACACCAATACATATAATCTACGCTTTTGTGAATCCATGTCTACGATTACCAAATTACTGACAATGCATAAATTGATATGTGCAAGACTTTGCAACATGTACACTTGCTAGGTCATCTCTCTGAAGTTACCTTGATATGTTAATCTGTTCTATGGCAGATACTATGGCACTGAACTATGATGGGAAGCTGGTGCCTCTGCTGACTGAGGCTGGAGCCATCGCTGGTTCTACCTCAAAGACAACCATCACTGCTTGACATGTGTGTTGCCGTTCCCGTGCTTAAAATAAAGATGCTTTGCAAGTGCTGAACTTGCAGCTGTCAGATGCTATCTGGGAGTGTGACTGTTCGATCCCACTTCCCGTGCTAAGTTGTGAACTATATTGTCGTTGCTCTGTTTGTCTTTCTTCTAGAAATACTCCGTCCGTGCATTTCTGTCTTAGGCTCGTAGCACCCACATGACACGACGCACGCTGGTGCGCGCCAGCCCGAATGGAGTGTGTCCTACCGCCAGGCCATTCTGAGGTACACCTTGCACACCACCAGCTCCTCGTCGTTGCTGTTCTCGTCATACGAGAAGTCCGGCCCGAAGCCGTATTCCTCCATCCACCACTCCGTCCACGCCAATCTCCGAGACGCCTCGTCATCTTCCCGATACTGGAACACGCGCCGGTATCCCACGTCCCGGCCTTCTCCGTCCCTGACGCCCCAGTAGAGCGCCGCCGGCACGTACTGCCCCGGCCCTGCTCTTCGCAGGCGCGCAATAATGCCATCGTCGCCGCCGCCGTGCTCCGTTGTTCGCGGGCGCCGCACGGCGAAGAACCACTCGAACCTGTCGTTTGCCGCCGGGAGCACGCCCGTGAGCACCGCGGGGTGCGCCGCGCAGACGTCGGTGGCGTGGTGCAAGCGGCGCCGCAGCGGGTCCCCGACGCTGCGGCTGGCGAGGTACAGCTGCACGAGCACCTGCGGCCTCACGTCCGCGCCCGCCGCGCGTTTCGCTTTCGCCGCGGGCGGCGTGCTCGTGCTGTGCTGCCGGACGAGTCTCTCGTGGAGCGCCCTGCCGCGAGCCGGGTACACCTTGCATACGACCATGTCGAACGGTGGTATCCTTCTACCCTTTCCAACGGTCCAAAGCGATGTGATCGATCGTCTCGCGAACGGAGCCTTTATTGAGTGCGCAAGTACGTACGAGGCTGGTTTCCGAGGCAATGTTAGTCATTGGATTGAATTGAACTTCAGGGCAGCGGAGCCATGATTCGGAGTAGGGGACGACGGGTTGCAAGCCATCCGAGGCCGAGTAGGCAACTATCACGCTGACGTTTCGTTGTCACTTTGAATTGGGCCAGATTCTAGTACTGGGCTTTATTAAAGGCGGAAAAGGGGTGGCCATCAAAGACACGTGCGAGTTTCCTCTCTCACGGAAATGAGGCCTTTGGGCTCTCTGCGGTGGGCTTCAGCAGCACAACCGGACAAAGTATATAAACCGAGCCTTAATGCTTGCTTTGCTGCTGCCATCTCCTCTGAACTCAGATGCATTATATTCGTATACTGCTGGAACAGAATGCAGATGTACTAACTGATCAGTGATGACTGAATGAAAGTTGTTCGTACAAGTAAATACACTTTACACTCGGTGCGTGCATGCATTCATATGCATATGATGCGTAGCTGGAAACAATCAATATATCTAATTGGGTAATTGTATGTCACCATCATCATATCCCCAGTTTTTCAGGTACGGATTGCTAGCTAGCGGAAAAACTTGTTTGTATTCCACATGCATAAAGAAGTTCTCCGGAGCTTTAACGTGTCCATCGCCTGAGGCGGCGGTAGCTGCTGATGCAGTGATGCTGCTGCAAAATGGACGTACGGTAGCAGTTGTTCCGTTCCGTCCTTATCCACCAGCACCACACCACGCACACCACGGCTACACGACGACGATCAGCTCTCCCCCCCTCAAGTAGAAAGGCATGCCGCTTCAGGCGGCAGGTTAGCGATCAGCTGTGGTAGGTTGATCTCCTCCGACTCACTCCAATGATTGAGTCAGGTCTTGATCTCGTGTTCTAATCAGGAGCGTCCGACCGAATCAATGGTTAGTGGTCCTTTTAAAGGTCCTAATATGGCTAGAGAAAAAGTGAAAGACCTATTTAAAAGTCTACAAACCAATTAGAACAATTTAATTAGTATGACAAATAGTGAAATACAAACTAGCTCTAACTCTATAAGGGTTGCAAGTCACCTATCCAACAATTCTAGTTACTATGATCACTATACACATAATTTTGCTAAGTCACTACTCACTAAAAGCTCTCACACTTGCTACACTAAAGAGCTCCACTAGATAAACTTAAACTACAAAGCAAGCTCTCAATTATAGCTATACTAAAGAGGTTGCTACAACTAGTTTACGAGAATGTAAATGAGTGAGTAGGGTGATTATACCGTCGCGTAGAGAAGTGAACCAATCACAAGAAGAATACCAATTTAATCACCTGGAGAACACCAAAGGGCAAGAGACAATCAATTTTTCTCCTGAGGTTCACGTGCTTGCCGGCACGCTAGTCCCCGTTGTGTTGACCAACACTTGGTGGTTCGGCGGCTAAGAGGTGTTGTACGAACCTCATCCACACAATTGGACACCGCAAGAACCTACCCACAAGTGAGGTAACTTAATGACACGAGCAATCCACTATACTTATCTTTCGGCGCTCCACCGGAGAAGACACAAGACCCCTCACAATTATCGGGAGATGGCCACGAACAATCACCAACTCGTGCCACTCCTCCTCCGCTGCTCTAAGCCGTCTAGGTGGCGGCAACCACCAAGAGTAACAAGCGAATCCGGCAGCAAAACACGAACACCAAGTGCCTCTAGATGCAATCACTCAAGCAATGCACTTGGATTCTCTCCCAATCTCACAAAGATGTTGAATCAATGATGGAGATGAGTGGGAGGGCTTTGGCTAAGCTCACAAGGTTGCTATGTCAATGCAAATGGTCAAGAAAGTGAGCTTGAGCCGGCCATAAGGCTTAAACAGAAGCCCCCATGAAATAGAGCCGTTGGCTCCTCAGTCCACTGAAAATCGGGGCGACCGGACGCTCCGGTCGTATTGACCTGACGCAGGACCCCAGCTTCGCGACATGTCCCCTACTTCAAATGCTGATCGCCCGATCTCAACGGTCATCAGTGCATTTAAGTTTGTGATCGGACGCGCTACTCGAAGTGACCGGACGCACCAACACCAGCGTCCGGTCGTTTCCAGTAAGGTTCCACTCGCGACCGGACGTGTCCGGTCATGCCCGACCGAACTCGCCCAGCGTCCGATCACTCGCCCACTTCTCTGTGCGCTGCCACATCATCATGACCGGACGCTGAACAGTGTTCAGCCAGAGTCCGATCGCCTGTGTCCGATCAAGAGACCGAGGGTGGCCTTCACTGCGCGCCACTGACTGGACGCAGGACCCCAGCGTCCGGTCACTGCATGACCAACGTCCGGTGCACTTTGTGAAACCCTGTCTTTACTGTACAGGGCGCCGATGGCACTCTACGAGCAGACACTCCATCGGTGAAGTTTCGAACCCTTGCTTCCAAGTGCTAAACACAATATGTATCACCTTTGTGCATGTGTGTTAGCATATTTTCACAAATATTTTTAAGGGTGTTAGCACTCCACTAGATCCTAAATGCATATGCAATAAGTTAGAGCATCTAGGGCCACTTTGATAACCGCATTTCGATATAAGTTTCACCCCTTTTAATAGTACGACTATCGATCCTAAATATGATCACACTCTCTAAGTGTTCGATCACTAAACCAAAAAGCCCCTATCAATTTCACCTTTGCCTTGAGCTTTTTGTTTTTCTTTCCTCTTTTCCAAGTCCAAGCATTTGATCATCACCATGCCATCATCATCATCATGTCATGATCTTCATTTGCTTCATCACTTGGAGTAGTGCTACCTATCTCATAATCACTTTGATAAACTAGGTTAACACTTAGGGTTTTATCAATTCACCAAAACCAAACTAGAGCTTTCACCCCCGTCGCGCAGCGCCATAAAAAGGAGATGGGGGCCAGGGCACTAGGCACGAGGTTCACCTGAGCCACCACAAATCCCACCTACATTCTAACCCTAAGCCGATCTAGAGAGGGGGCGCTGCCAGCGACAGGAAGCCACCACCGCCGCGTCTTCACCGCCGCCTGTGCGACCGCGCCTCCATTGCGACGTCCACATCGTCGCCGGACTCCACTACTGCTCTATGCCTTCACCGCGTCACCGACACCGACGCCATGGCTAGCTCATCTACCTCCAAGGCAACCGATGGACTCAACCCTATAGCAGTTATCTCGCACATACCGCCTCTTGAAGGGGCAACTATCGTGTATGGCGAGAGAAGTATGAATTAGCACTTGTGCTGTCCGAGAATGACCTAGCACTTACCTCTCCGTGTCCTACTAAGCCAGTGGACCCGATGAGGAAAGAAAATGAAACCGATGCTGATTTCACTGCTAGGCAGCGAGATCATGCAGAAGTAAGAATGAAATATGATCTCGAACGTAAGAAATGGGACATTTCGAACCGTAAATGCTTGATGGTGGCTAAGTCCACTATTTCAGATGCAATAAGGGGTCTATCCCAGATTGTGACACCGCCACAGAGTATCTCAAGAAAGTGGAGAGTCAGTTTACTGGCTCTTCAAAGGCTTATGCCAGTACCCTAATAAAGAAATTATTCAATGGGAAATACTCTAATGGAGGGATAAGAGAGCACATACTGAAGATGAGCAACACGGCTTCCAAGCTGAAGCCAATGGATTTGGGTCTCAAGGATGAGTTCCTGATTTATTTGGTTTTTTCTTTCTTGCCTCAAGAATATGAAACTTTTATTGTAAATTACAACATGCAACCCGATAAATGGGATATTAAGAAGCTGATTGCAATGTGTGTGCAAGAAGAGGAGAGGTTGAAAAGCTCACATGGTGACTCTGCTAATCTTGTGAAGGACAACAAGAAGAAGAACTTTAAAAAGAATGCCAAACTTCAAGGGAAAGCCTCTTAAAATGACCATCATCAGAAGAACAACAATGCCCAAGTTGAAAAGGATCAGTGCAAATGGTGCAAGAAGCATGGACATTATCAGAGAGACTGTCTAGATTTCCTGAAGAGCCTTTTGAAGAGAGGTGAGGACTTCATTATATTCATAGATGAGTCCTTGTATTTAAGTTAAGCAAAATCTATTTGGTGGATTGATTCAGGTGCAACTATTCATGTTACAAATTTATTACAGGGATTCCATACGAGGAGGACCCTGTAAAGAGGAGAAAGAAGAATTAAAGTTGCAAATGGAGTTGAAGCTGAAGTTGAAGCCATTGGAGATCTCTCTCTAGAATTAGATGATGGTTTTATACTTCAGCTTTCAGATATTCTTTATGTGCCCTCTTTGCGTAGAAACTTGATAAGTGTTTCATGACTAGACGATGATGGATATGATTGCCATTTTGGTAATGGCAAATGTCAGATTGTGTTTAATAATAAGTGTGTTGGTCTTCCCTTTTGACAAGACAAGGTTTATTTGTTATCACTTTCTGAGAATATGAATGCTGTGAGCACTGAGAATGAGAATGCCTCCTCGTCTATAAATGCAAGAAATAAACAGAAGAGAGTTCATGATGTATCATCAAAATTATGACACTGTCGTTTAGGCCACATTTCGAGGGGAAGAATAGAGTGATTGATTAAGAAATCAATTCTTCCGCCATTAGAATTTTTAGATTTAGAACAATGCATTGATTGCATAAAAGGAAAGTATGTTAAAAAAATAAAGAAAGATGCCAAACGAAGCGTAGGAATTTTAGAAATAGTTCACATAGATATCTGTGGTCCTTTTCCTATGAAGAGTATGGATGGTTATGCTTCATTTATAATATTCACAGATGATTATTCTTGTTTTGACTATATTTATCTAATTAAAGAAATATCAGAAGCATTGAATAACTTTAAGATATTTAAGACTGAAGTAGAAAATCAGCACAACTTAAAGATTAAAGTAGTAAGATCCGACCGGGGGGGGGAGTACTATGGTCGACACAC